AATAGTATGCAAATAAATATTAGCAACAAGGCCTACGTTGCTGAAAACTAGGGGATGTACTATTCCTAAACTTTCAGCAACATGGCTCTTGTTGCTGAAAATGGAATAGGAAAACCACCTAGAAAAACCACCATTTTCCTTAAACTTCCAGCAACATAAGCCACGTTGCTGAAATTTTAGTTTTAGCAACGTGGCTTATGTTGCTAAAAAAATTCAAAACATTGGCCGGACTTTCTACCGGAATTTGGCAAAATTTTTAGCAATACGAGGCATGTTGCTGAAACTATATTTTCAGCAACGTGCCTCATGTTACTGATACATCACCAACAAGCTCCATGTTGCTAATGTATCACCCAGCAAGGCATTTCCAACAAAGGTTTTAGCAACTAGAGGCATGTTGCTGAAAGAGTTTCAGCAACATATGAACCATTTTCAGCAACATGAAAGCATGTTGCTGAAAATAGAAATTTTAGTAGTGAGAGGACCAATGACATTAACTTTTGAATAAGTGCACTCCTACTCCCCTGAGCAGGTTTTGAACTCGTCTCATGTCAAAATGTTCAAAAAAAATTAATTAATGAGTTCCATTCAAGCTAAGCCACCAAACTTTAACTTTTCAGTTACTCATGGCTAACTTTTTTATTTATTTATGGTTAAAAATTAAAAACATTACATATTTAGTGTTACAATAACATAATTCCAATTAAAAAGGAATGGAGCCAATTACTTAAGCAGTTTAGTTGTTTTTTTTTTTTTAAGTGGAGTAAAATATCTTAGTTGCGAGCTCTAAGGATGCAAATAAATAAATAAATGGATAAAAAAATTTTGATATTTATTGTGCAAACTCAAAAAAATTTAAAAAAAAATGGAGTTATGTTAAAGGTAGTAAATTAACATAGTAATTCACGTAGTAAAATTTTATGGAAGTGGCTAAAAAAAAATTCCTAAAATTAGGAGTCTTATATAAACTCAAAATAATTTTGTTTTATATGTGTAAACCTATGAAAGGTGCCCTATAGGTAGAAGAAAATAAAAATTATGCAACAAATCATACTCTCTAAATAAACTCACAAAAAAAAAAAACTTATAAATTTATCTACAATACGTAATAATAAGTAATAAAATGCTCGTAAACAAATGTAAACAATTAATAATAAAAAAAGTCATTTAAAATTAAGAGATTGTCAAGACAATCGCCTAAGCAGAATAACAGGGCTACAAAATATAGAAACTGCCACTACAAGCTCCTAAGCTATATGGAAATCAACCTGTTATGCCTGGTTCAGAGTGAAAATATAGACTCGCAATATAAGTAACAATCAAATTGCATCGTGTTAGGTTTATAGAATGCCTAAATTTTAAAATGACATAATTTTAGGTTACCCTCTTTACTATCTTGATTTTAAAATAATTTTATTTGTACTTAAAATGTATAAATTTTAAAATTATATCATTTTAAAATTTATAAGACTCTTAACATTTAATATTAATGTGCACTTAAATTAATTATTTTACGAAAAAAAATAATTAAATAAAAATAATTTTTAATATTAAAATATCTATCCTATCAAATAATTTTAATTGCACACTTTTTTGTAGGCACTTTAGTCTCTCTTTGATATTCCTCATTTTTATTTTATTTCTTTATTTCCTCTTTTAGAGCAGCCAAGAACGGTCATTTCCCGAGTCAAAAGAGATATAGTACCATCAAACTTCTTGCACCACCCCTACTCCTCATCCTTGCACCAGTTGTAGTAGTAGTATTACCACCATCAACTTCTTTAATCTCTTCTGGATCATTATCTTTTTGTTGTTGCACGCATTTCTTTTTCATCTTGGCTTTCACCTTCGCATTCGACTTCTTAGCTTTCTCCATTATCATATCATCCTCAACGAACCTCAAAATTTATCTTAGGTTTTGGTCCAAATAATCTTTTCTTCTTTTTTTTTTCTTTTTTTTGGTAGATAACGACAACAACATTAAAACAAGAACATGATTATGTTAGTGGTATCTGGGGAACAAACCAACTCAGTCATAAAATCCCAAAATTAAGGTTGAATTCTTAATTTTACCTATCAAAAATAAAATTCTTAAAATTATATATAAAAAAAATCATATAGTATTTTTATTAAAAAATAATTTTGACACAATCTTTTTATAATATTTTTTTGGTATTAACTTTCCGGCATCCAATAACCACTTTGAGTGTGACTAATTCGGAATCGATTCACGTTGAACCCCATTATGAAAAGTGAATCAAAACAAGTAAAGAAGGAAACAGAAGATACCAACAACGAAAAGGAAACAAGAGATATCAGCAAGAAAAAGGAGTTTGTAGCTATCAATCATAAAGCTTAGTTTAAGGAGAAATTAAGCAACGGTCACAAGCAACGTTTTTGCCCATGATTTATGACATACATTTAGGATCTAGACACATTACTGTACATATATACACTGATATATGCTTGTATAGAATTAACTCAATTCAATACAATACAGTATTTCAAAAATCTTTCTTTTCTGGCTTTTCTTCATGGTATCAAAGCAAGTCACAATCTGCATTTGAATACTTTTGCCTTATTTGATTAGTTCCTTTGTTTCTCCTTACAAATCAACAAATCAGTACACATCATGGCCAAAAACAAGAATACACTTACCATTCAAAGCTTCCACTAGATGGCAAGCTTGGTCTTAGTCAAGTTGTCAAGTACCAATTTTCTTGTTATGGAAGTCACAAATTTATCCACTCATTAAGAGTGCCCAACTGATGCATCATCTTCAAGAAAAGGCTCCACCTAGAATTATTATCAAAGATGGTAAAGAGGAGTCAAACCTAGCCTATGAAGTCTGGTTGAGTAATGACGGGCTGCTAACCAGTTGGCTACTCGGGACTATGAGTGAAGAGGCACTCAGCCTAGTTGTTAGGTGTGAAACAACTCTTCATATTTGGATTGTCTAGAAGGCCATTATCTTGCCTCTTCAAAGGAACAAGAACTGCACCTCAAAGGTGAATTGGCAATCAAAAAAGGAGACAATGAATCACTTGAGAATTTCATAAGAAAATTCAAAGGGATTTGTGACAGTTTAGTTGCAATTCCTAAGCCTCTAGATGATCTTGACAAAGTGTTCCAATTATCTAGAGTTGTAGGGACAAGGTATCAACCTTACAATTTGGCAGTATTATCAAAGGCACCTTATCCTACCTTTAGTCAATATTCTACAAGATTACTAAACAATGAAAGAGACATTCAAGTGGCAAAATACGAAACCAAAGACAAGGTCCCACCATATGCTCAAGTGTTTGTAGCTCAAAGAGGAAGAGGACAACGAGGTGAAGGATATAATGGAAGAAATTTCAACTCAAAAGGAAGGGGCTTTGATCAAGCTAGGAATTACAACCAAAATTAGACTAGCAATAGTAGGAACAATCTAGTGAGCACAAATCCAATACCTCAACAAAACTCTTCTCAAAAGGTTCAGCAAAAAAAGGTAATACAAAAAGATGAAAACTCATGTTAGATATGTGCCATTGCAGGGCATACAGCACTAAAATGTTGGTATAGATTTGATCATGCATACCAAAGTGAGGAACTGCCACAAGCACTAGCAAGTCTCACTATGATGGATGACAAAGATCCAAACTACTATGTGGACACTGCTGCTATAGACCGTATGACTTCAGAGTTAGGTAATCTTCTTTCTAAAAGACCTTATAATGGAAATCAAAAAGTATTTACAAGTGATGGCACTCCTCTTAATATCTCACATATTAGTACTCCTTCTATTGGAAGATTAAAACTTAATGATGTTCTTGTAGTACCTAACCTTAAGAAAAATCTTATTTCAGTTAGTAAATGTACAGAAGAAAACCCATATATCTTTGAATTCTCATCTAATGGCTTTGTGATTAAGGACCAAATAACTCAAGCGGTGGTGGCCAAGGAAACTAGGAAGGGTCAGCTTTATGCACTTGAAGAGGAAGAAAAACATGCTTTAGCTGCTATCTCAAATAAAGCTTCAGATTCCATTTGGCACCAAAGATTAGGACATCCTAATTCTAGCGTCCTAAAGACCTTAGTTATCGAAAACAATATTGTTGTATCAAATTGGACCAAATCTCCTCATTTATGTTCTGGTTGTCAAATGGGAAAGAGCTGTAAGCTACCTTTTACTAGAAATAATGAAAGAGCTGAATATATGTTTAAAAAAGTACACAGTGACTTATGGGGTCCTTCTCCAGTCTAGTCTATAAGTCATTTTACTTATTATGTAATTTTTATAGATGATTACAGCATGTATACTTGGTTTTATCCACTTTATAAGAAATTTGACTTCTTTGCTGTGTTTCAGAAATTTCAAAGAATGATAGCAACTCAGTTTAACAAGAACATACAGTATTTCAATGTGATGGTGGTGGAGAATTTTTCAGCAAAACATTTGTTAACCATGTAGCTGAATGTGGCATAAAGCTCCAAGTATCCTATCCTGGCACACCCGAGCAAAATGGGGTAGCCGAGAGGAAACACAGGCATATAGTTGAGACATGTTTGACAATGTTACTTCATGCCAATCTGCCATCTCGTTACTGGACTAACAACTTCTCTACTGCAATTTTCTCATTAATAGAATGCCTACACCAGTCTTGAAAAACAAGAGTCCTTATTATACTCTTTATGGTCAAGTCTCTGATTGTTCTATGATAAAAGTGTTTGGCTGTCGTTGTTTTCCATATCTTAGAGATTATGCTACAAACAAACTCAAGCCTAGGTCTTTACCCCGTGTCTTTTTAGGCTATAGTCCAATTCATAAAGGGTATAAGTGTTTGCATCCTTCTACTCAACGTATACACATACCTAGACATGTTGTCTTTGATGAAAACTTACTTTCGTATACTAATTTGACCAAAACATTAAGTGAAATTAATGCAAGTGGTGAGCTTTGCAAATATCCTGATGCAGATGAATGGCTACATATTTCCTCAAATTTACAGCCTTCAGGCAAGCTAGATGAGGCATCTGTGGATAAATCCAATTCTACGTTTGTTCCAAAATCCAAGGTTATTGATATGAGTATAGAAGAAAAACACAACACAGACTTTATTGTTGAAGAAAAAGAGGATCAAAGGCAAGTGGAACTTGAATGCTCTGCAAGTGCTAGTCATGACTCACGGGATAGCCAAGAACAAGCAGAACATGATTCTCCTCTTTTAACTTCCTCTCAATCTGGGATAAACATTCAGGAAAATGAAGTGGTAGACTTATTGGCTCAAGATACATCGAGTACTTCTCAAGCACCAAACTCAAGTTTTGGAGGGGTACCTCCACCACCCCATAATGCCACTTCAACATCAATTCACTCAATGACAACAAGAACAAAATCAGGGAAGCATACAGGACATGTTCAAACTAATTTCTCAAAAATTGTAAATCATATGACTACAACTAACCCATCCTCTAATGATGTAGGCCTGGACATTAAAGAGCCCAGATTGATTAGGAAAGCACTACAACTTCCACATTGGGTTAATGCTATGAAGGAAGAGCTGGTTGCATTTCATAGGAACAATACATGGACATTAGTCCCGGCACCTTCAATGCAGATAAACATTGTAGGCTCTAAGTGGGTGTTCAGAACAAAACTAAATCCTAATGGAAGTGTGGAAAGGTTCAAGGTATGACTGGTAGCTAGAGGATATTCTCAAGTACCTGGTGTGGACTTTGAAGAAACTTTCAGCCCTGTTCTTAAGCCAACCACCCTTCGGTTAGTCATTGTTATTGCCACTACCTTGTCATGGCCACTCAAACAACTAGATGTCAAAAATGCCTTCTTGCATGGGACACTCAAAGAAGAGGTATGCATGACACAACCACCAGGTTTTGAAGATTCAGTACACCTAAAATATGTGTGCAAGCTTAATAAGTCTACCTACGGTTTGAGGTAGGCTCTGAGAGCATGGTTTGATACTTTTACATTACAGCTCTTACGAATGGGGTTTTGTTGTAGTAGAGCATATTCCTCCTTGTTCATACTCGATACTGGTCATGACATTGCCTTACTCTTATTATATGTTGATGACATAGTACTAAGTGCAAGTTCAATGTCCTTACTACAGGTGATAATTGATCATCTTAGCAGTAAATTTGCTCTTAAGGATCTCGGCTCACTTAGTTATTTTCTAGGCATTGAGGTGACTAAGTTCTCAGGAGGCGCATTTTTATCACAAACTAAATATGCAAAAGACAATCTTACTCGAGCCTCCATGCTTGAAGCAGCATCCATTGCTACTCCAATGGCTTTAAAAGACACTATCACGTCGAGGGATAGTGATCTTGTTGATGCGCAAGAGTACAAGAAACTTGTTGGCTCACTACAATACTTAACAATTACTATAATTGATATTTGTCATGTTGTTAATTGAGTATGTCAGTTTATGCAGTAGCCTACTTTTTCTAATTTGCGTCAAGTCAAACGTATATTAAGATATGTCAAAGGGACTATGCATCATGGTTTACGATTCTACTCTCAAAGCACTTTCTCCTTAACAGGGTTTTGTGATGCAGACTGGGTAGGATGCCCAACTACAAGAAGAAGCACTATTGGGTTTTGTGTTTTCCTTGGTGCAAATTGCATGTCATGGTCTTCAAAGAAACAACCTATCATAGCCTGCTTAACAGCTGAAGCAGAATATCATGCTTTGGCATCTACTACTGCTGAAGTTGTTTGGATTACTTATCTACTTTGTGACATTGGAATTGCTCTGCCTTTTCCTCCTCAAATTTTCTCTGATAATATTAGCTCTCTTAACATGTCAATTAATCTTGTCTTTCATGCCAAGACAAAGCATATAAAGTTAGATTATCATTTTGTTCAAGAAAAAGTAGCACTCGGGACATTGATTACCAGGTACATCCCCAACAATGATCAAGTGGCAGACCTACTTACCAAACCACTTCCACAAGCACAATTTAAGGTATTGAAATTCAAACTGGGTTTGGTTGAGTCACCCCACACCAATTTGAGGGGGAATATGAAGAGTGAATCAAAACAAGTAAAGAAGGAAATAAAAGATACCAGCAAGGAAAAAAAAAAAGAGGAGATATCAACAAGAAAAAGGAGTTTGTAGCTATCAATCATAAAACTCAGTTTAAGGAGAAATTAAGCAACGGTCACAAGCAGTGTTCTTGCCCATGATTTATGGCATACATTTAGGATCTAAACACATTACTGTATATATATACACTAATATATGCTTGTACAGAATTAACTCAATTCAATACAATATAGTATTTCAAAAATCTTTCTTTTATGGCTTTTCTTCACCCATTAGAGGGAAACTCTCCCAATGCTTATTTTCCATTCACAAGACTCAAACTCATGATCTTGTTTAAGAGAAATCGAATTCCGTCCACTTAAACCAACAAGTTGTTGGTAATCTTTTTATATTATCTTTTAATATAATTTCACATATTATTTAAATAGTTAATTTTTTTATTTATTTAAAATTTATAATATTAAATATATCTATTTATTTAATAATATATAAAAATTATATAAAAAGATTATAAAAATAACAATTTCTTAAACAGTCCCTTCTGTTTACTTGACTTGCAGTCTTCTCCCTCCCCAAGCCCAAACGATATCTTCACTTTTCATCCAGCTTTCTTCGCTTTCCCCTCTGAAACAATCCCTTTTTCTAAACCCATTTCCAGATCTCTGTGTTCATATCCAGCTTTGTTTTTCAGGGTTTATCATGTTATGAGGACAAGTAATAGGCCGATAAAAAGGTTGCTGCTGATGATTTCACTAAATGTGGCGTATTCTACTGGAGAGCTGGGGATGGGACTTTTTACTGGTCGTATTGGTGAGTTTCAATTTCTGTTTCCTTTGAATATGTTCTGAGAAATGTGGAAATTAGAGTATGATGCTTATATATTATAGCAGATTTGAAAATGGGGTTGGAGCTTTACTGCTTCATGGTTCTATGCCCTTTTCAATATCATAATTCATAAATAAGATCTGCACTTTTAGTTCATAATATCAGGGTTCCAGTTTAGATGACTAAAGCTTTTCTTTGTTCTTCAATTTGTTTTTTTTTTTTTTTAAATGTTTGCCTTAACTAGATTTTCCTACCATTCTCTTTCTTTTCTCTTTGAAAACTAGAAAATGATTGTCCTTCCTACTCTTTTTATGAATGAATATTTTCTTGCAGTATACAGAAGGGCTGAAGATATGAATTACCACTTAGTTTGCTTACCTGTTCTTGCAGATTCCATTCATAAGGCTCCTCTTCTTTTGGTAAAGTATATCAAATTTGATATTCACATCCTCATAAAACTCCTCTTCTTTTGTTGTTTCTCAGTGCAGGTTTGATTTTGGCTTCATGGTTTTTATCCCTTGGGTAATTTCTTATTTCATATCTCGGGAAAGATTTGTCCTCACTTACCTCCTCCATGTTCAACTAATATAATTTCTATTATTACTCCTCTTTGCAGGGTCAACAATGCTGAAGTTTTATGTGTGGGATTAGTTTCAGTAGCAGTCTCCATGCTTTTCATGCCTCTCTTCAAAGCTACTGGGAGTGTATTGCCTCAAATGGCACCACCTAACATCCGTCTTCAGCATTGAGCAATGCTGGCAGCAGGTTCTCTCTTTTCCAACAAATTTGTGTTTTTATTTGTCATTTTCATGTTTGAAAATTCAATTTCTGGTTAGATTACCTCTCGTGAAGATGTTACAGAAGTTTGCCAAGCCCGCTTTTGGGAACTAGTACCTGGTCATGCCATTGGCTCAATTTCACTACTGATATTTCACTGTTATTCTTTTATATTCTTTATATGTTTGCTTTCTGTAGCACTGAAAACATATCCAAGTTTCTTTTGGTTTTGGTGCCTATAAGGTGAAGAAAGGAATGGATGAGAGGCCACTTCTTTATATCTTAGCCTGCTGTTTTGGGTTCATGAGAGGCTGTGACAACAAAGGTATCAGTTTTCCTGGGGGTGCGTTGTCGGTCATGGTGATTGAAACGGAACTTGTTAGAGATTAGGGCTCTGATACCACTAATAAGACAAGGTGAATGGCAGAATTGAATAATGATATTATTAACAATCAATCACATATATATATATATATATATATACAGCAGTAGAGTATTGGCCAAGATACATAAGAAAGGAAACAGAAAAACTAGCTTTTATTTACACGGTCCAGAATCAAAGATTATATATTTCTTTAATAATGAGAGAATCATATAAGTAGCACTTTCCTTAACAGTGCCATGATTTGGGAACACAGCAATTGACAGTGCAGACTGGTAATGAATGAGCTTTACCTTTCTCTTTCTTTCCTTTTTTGAAGTCCATGGATTTCTACAACGGCTGACTGGTGAGAGAACTTCATAACTGGTTCGTAACTAGAGTCACTTTCTCAATACTCGATAAAAATGCCTTTGGAAAGGCATATATTGGGATTTTTCTGATTACCATGCTTTTTTCATGCATCAGATGACGATGTGTTAATTTACATTAAGAAATAACCCTTTTATTTCTAGACTTACACTTATGTTTTTGTACAAAGAGACAAGACCAAAGATTTTCAATTTAGACATTGATATTATTTCAAACAAAGGTGGTAAAACTTGTATCTAAATTAACACAATAGAAATGCTATAATACCAGCCGATATGCTATAAATAGGGCTGAAAGGCTTGCTGTTCTACCTTCTTGGTATATACACATTCTTCAGGTGCTCATTCTATCTCCCTGAGAGCTCTGAAAATGGTGCAAGCTGACTTCCTGTCGTGGAGTACTCCAACTTGTTGAAGGAAGGAGGCATTGCTGGCCAAATAAACGAGGGCCTCTCAAGGGGCACCTGCGGAGGCTCTACCTCACGTGTAAGAACCTGCAGAACAGTCTTCATAGAGGGCCTGTAATTCGGGTTTGGGTGGCAACAGGCCAACCCCAGAATTAGCACATCCTCCATTTCTTCCTTCTCAAACTTCCCTTCCATTCTGGGATCTGCGACATCAACTATCCTTCCCTTCTTGTAAAGATCCCATGTCCAATTCACAATGCTGCCATTGTAAGTGTCCTCTTCATTTTGGTTACCGGGTTTTCTCCCACAGACAACTTCCAGTAGCAGAACACCAAAGGAATAAACATCTGTTTCCACAGTTGCCCTGCTGATCAAGAAAGTCTCTGGTGCCATGTAGCCAGGGGTTCCAGCAATCTCTAGGGTGGAATGGTGGGTTTTTCCCTTATCTTGAATTGTTCTGGCCAATCCAAAATCACCCAACTTGGCATTGAATTCTGAATCCAACATGATGTTGCTCGACTTTATGTCCCGGTGAAGCACCCTTTGATGAGAGCCGTAGTGGAGGTACTCTAGTGCCTGAGCAACGCCATTTATTATGCTAAGCCTTGTTTCCCAGTCGAGTGTCAACTCCTCCCGGCTGTCATCCGAAAATATGAACTTGTCCAGGCTCCCATTTGGCATGTACTCATAAACAAGGAGGAGCTCTCGGCTTTCGTAGCACCATCCAATCAGCTTCACCAGATTTTTGTGATTCAGGTTGCCGATTGTTGTAACTTCTGCTACAAATTCTTGCTTTCCGGATTTTTTGGAGACCCTTTTAACAGCTATTTCCTTGTTTCTCCAGATGCCCTTGTAGACCGTCCCGAATCCCCCTTTTCCGAGCTTGTTCTTGGGGTTAAAGTTTCTGGTTGCATTTCGGAGTTCATTCAGCCGGAACCTCCTTGGTGCAGTGGAGCTTCTAATATGATCTTCTATGTTCGGATATGCTCCTTCTGGGTCTACTTGCCTGGATTTCCTTCTCCTATACAGGAAAAAGGCAACTACAAAAATTAGGAGGAGCAGAGCCACGGTAGGAACAGAGATCCAAACCCACAAGCTCCGTCCAGCTATATCTTTGCCTTGGAAACTCCAAGATTTCACACAGTTTAATTCTAGTTGATCACTTGTTGAAGCTGAGAACCCCACATAAACATCCTCTGGAAGATAACTGGAGAGATCAATAATTTTGGAAATTGTGATGAACTCATCCGTTTCATTTGTTGCAATAAAAACACTCAGGTTTTTGCTTTGGCCGTTGTAAACGACATTTACCGTTACACTATTTCCATTACTGAGCTGGACGTTAGAGTCATTGAGCGAGAACTATATTTTTATTCAAAAGAAAAAAAAAAAGAATAAAAAAGAAAGAAAAGTTAGTATTTAGTTATTACACAAGTTTAAACTTTTGGAATCAACTTAGAATTAAAGTTTAGAAGTTGATAGTACCAACCTGTTCAGTGGAGTATATGCTCCCTACATCCAATCCAATATGGTTACCATCAAGATCCTCTGGATAGCTCTTCAACGTGTCAAATTCTATAGCTACTATTGGGGAGGATCCATTTGATGTCTCATTTACAATTCCCAGCCACTTCCCATGACTATTTTCTGGCACAGTGGGAATTGCGGTCAATATAAAGGCCAAGCCCTCGCCAACTGGAGTCGTCTTTCCTGGAAATGGTGAAATATTAATCACAAAGGTTGAATTAAAGGAAGCCGTGATCGTGTCTCCGCCTTTGCCTCTTCTCCACAGCTTGAACGGTTTGGCATACCAGGCTCGTCCGGATAAATTTGTGACGGCAGAATCGCGGCTGTTGTCCAACGTAACTTGGATGGCAGTCCCGGATATGACAGACACTTTTTCATCGCTTACCCTAATGGTTTGATAATCATCTCCAGAAAATTGTGGGTAATCGAATTTAAGACATGCTATCGGAGCGACGGCATGGAGGAAGGCTATTAAGGTTAGGAGCTTAAAGAAGCGAAGAACAAACATCTTGATTAGTTCTTAAAAAATTGATGATGCCTGGTTTAAATATAAATTGCCTCTGCATAAAGTCTTACATGTTCACGGAAGCAAAGAGGAGAGATTGGTCAAGGGAATGACTTGTACAACGAAGAAAACTTCTCTACATTTTCTATTCCTCTGCTCTAAATTATTTTAAGAAAAAAATTTGGAAAAGTAGTTCTCTAGCGAAATTTTATAATGGGGTTGACCATTTATGTTCAGCAGCCATATTTTGCTGCCGCATTGACGCTGCTCTTTTTTCTTTTTCTTTATTAATTATAATCCATTATATAATAAAAGATAATTTTTTCCTCTTTAAACTTCTCTTAATGCTTATTTTAAGATTCAAACTGAGACCTTTAAATATAGAAGTTGAAGCTGCTAATCACTTTTTATGCTGTTCTGCGTTATATTATAATATATATCTATATTTTTCATTCAAACATTTCAACTGAATTATAAGGGAAGGTTCTCCCACTAGGTGAGACTTTTATGCTATTGCACCGCCCAAGTACAATAGAAACGCCACCCTTGATGATAAAGCATTGACCCTGTCCATATGGTCAGGCAAGGGATTATTCTCATGCATATATTTCTATGTTTTATTATTCAAACAGAGTGACTGAATCATCCATTGGTAACTTCCATTTGCTGGTTTGAAAATTTTTATTTTAAATTTCTGAGTCAATGGAAATCTACATTGAATTCATGTATTTTGCAAGAAAATCATTCAAGATCAAAATTCAACAAACAGAATTACAAGACCTTTTCAAGAGTGCGTTCGAACAAACATAAAAGGAAGAAAAAACCCAATATTCCAAAACGAAACCGTATGGTATGGAGATAACAAACTCGAATCCAAGATCTCTCATAGACTCTGTTTATCGTTCTATCAGTGAGCCAAGGCATCATCAAGAGCATTATTTTCTTTTAAAGATGTAACGATCAGTAGTTAAATTTTAAATCTATGAATAAAAATACAAATATCTTTAACGATATATCTTAAATTATTAATGCTTTACATCAAGATAATATATCAAATCAATATCAATACTAGCAAACAAAGACTGTGCTGTTCCATGTTCAAAAAAAAAAGACTGTGCTGTTCCATGTTCAAAAAAAAAGACTGTGCTGTTCAAGTCATTTCGAAAGCGTAATTTCTTTATAAAACCACCAAAAGTCTAAGTCTTTGTTAATTTGTTTACTGGACGATTATAGTATAGTACTAGCTAGTAATTTACCCCATAATTTCCTTTGTCATGGAGTTTATTTATAGTAAAAGGCGGTTAAGTATCATTTTCTCTAAATTCAAGCTGCGGACGAATCAAGGCATCTCATATTCATATTTTTCAAGAGTGTGTTTGAACAAGTATAAAAGGAAGGAATAACCCAATATTCCAAAACAAAACCGTGTGGTATGGAGACATAGCAAATTCGAATCCAAGATCTCTCATAAAC